ACCTTCTCATCTATGGTAAAACGTCTCCCTTCGGGTTTCTTAGCAAACTGTTTAATTTGCATAGAGAAAAAAGTCCGAGCTGCCGGTGTCATTTTTTTCTTTTCAACTGTTATATGCCCAGATTTCATCAATTTTTCATTCATTGCCATTTGTATTCCGAGCTTTACGTAATTTGGACTTTGTTTCCGATATAATGTCTTTTAGTTGCGTTTCTGTTGCAGTCAAAGGCGTAGTTTCATTTCCTATGTATAATAATCGCGAAAACCTCAGAACTGAAACCTAATAAATAAAAATATGTAATTATGAAGATACTGTTTCCTTTCTAAAATTATTATTTTCAAGATATTTTTGCCATCTTGAAAATAGTAATTATGAAAATATTGGTAAAACGTGCTAGTATAGTCCTTTTCACGAAGGAAGGGTACGGTGGCACTTGAAGCAATTTCATTTCATGCACGATGTATTCGAAGCAAAGAAGAATTGAGAATGAAAGTTAATTTTCTAATAAACTTAAAATCATAGACATACTTAAAATATGTTTCAATTTACATTTAAAATGAAATACTGCTTTTAGATTTCCGTAATTATTTAACTTGAAATTAAAAAACATGAATCTAAAAATTAACTAAAATGACTAAACGCGTAAATTGGAACGGTTTTATTGTAGACATTGACGCAAAAAAATCGGTTACAATCGATACATTTCTCAAATGATGAACGAAATCGTATCATGATTTCTTTACTCTTTCATTATAATTTTATTTTTCAAATCATTTTATGGCTTTAATACAAAACTAAAAAGAGAATTATTATGAAAATCATACTAAGTGATCATTAATCAATTGTTACTTACACTTTTTAATCTACAGTTATTATATTAGTATTTTAAAAGCTAAAATTAAGTATGGCGACACTAGCAAAGCATGAGTCGGTCGGTCATTCAGTATTGTCATCGCTACGGCATCGTGTTTTTTGCGCTGGCAACACTGGTTGGTCGCTGTCATATCAAAATATGTTCGAATCGTCAGTACGAGTGCATATGCCTTGTATGCTGTCCGTGTTTTCAGTTTGCGCTTTGGTTTGTGTTATTGACTTTTTGTTTCGTTGTATTGTTTTTGGCAATATGCCAAAAAAGACTGTGCTGGGTAGCCAAGCCCGTGAATCAGTAATTCGTTTGCGGGATTACTTTGACCGAGAACGTGAGTATGGCTCTACGGAATGAATGAATGAATGAATCGTACGGAATGCTCTTGCCTGTTTCCAACGTTTTGGATCGAGTGGCAAGTGCGTTAGACATCGGTCGAAACACGGTTTCTCGCATTACTCGAGAAAAATATGGAGAGTCTACTTCTAAAGAGAGAAAGTTATCGATCCAAAATAAGAAGCGACCAAGAAAGGCTCCAGTTATTGACATTGACAGTTTCGACGCTGATGCTATAAGACGTCATATTTATGATTTTTACAATCGAAAAGAGTTACCTACTTTACTAAAATTAGTAAGGTCCCTTAGAGATGCTGATCTGTTTTCCGGTAGCGTTACGTCTTTGTGGCGGTTACTAAAGAGAATTGGTTTTCGTTTTAAAAAAGTTAACACGCGAAAAATTATAATGGAACGGGGTGACATAGCACTTGCGCGGGTAACTTTTTTAAGAAAAGCGAAGAGGATCGAAGATTGGACCATAGTTGTATACCTAGATGAAACATGGTTGAATGCCAACCATACGGTTGGTAAAATGTGGACCGATGACACTGCTCATTCTGCAACCAAAGTCCCAGAAGGAAAAGGCGAGCGACTAATAATTTGTCATGCGGGCACATCTAACGGTTTGTGCCAACCATACGGTTGGTAAAATGTGGACCGATGACACTGCTCATTCTGCAACCAAAGTCCCAGAAGGAAAAGGCGAGCGACTAATAATTTGTCATGCGGGCACATCTAACGGTTCCTACAAAATAGTCTAATGGCATTTAAATCTAAAAAAACGGGGGAATATCATGAAGATATGAACGCGGAAGTATTCACGGAGTGGTTCCAAAATATGCTGAATAATTTAGAAGAACCAAGTATCATCATAATGGACAATGCATCATACCACTCCGTGCAGTTAAATAAGCCCCCCACTATGTCTAATAAGAAAAGTGAATTAATTGAATAGCTCAAGGCTAATAATATCGAAGCTGGTGAATCTATGTTAAAGGTAGAACTAATAAACTTAGGGTGGATTTCAACAACATCAAATTTACACCAGAATAACTATCCCAGTATAAATTTATTCTTAAGATTTAATCTACGGTTAAATTAAATTTCGTTTCACCAAGTTAATCTAGGGATAAATTACTCTCGTATAGTTACTCTGCTGTGTCGAATGAATGAAACGAACAGAAACGAGTGAAAGTATTAACCATCCAAATATGGTACGTCGATAATTTCTTAGGTGAGCTATGCCATTGTGTACTTTTCTTTTTGGAGAGGTAGTCATTTCAAACTGACGTTTTGAATAACCTCAAATACGCGAGTGTCATCTTGAGCCGTGGTGTTTGTTTGTTTAGTGTGTTTTAATTTAAATTAGCGACGTGTATTACGACGGCTCCAGAGAAAAGAAAACGTTCGGCCAACTGGACGGCTTCAGAGAAAAAAATTCTAATAGATCTAGTGACTGAGCATTTTAATATCATTGAAAACAAAAAAACTGATGGAGTTTCTATGAAACAAAAACTCGATGAATGGGAGACTATTAGCGTTAAATACAATAGCCAAACAACGCTAACGCATCGTTCCGCAAACAATTTGAAAGCGTAATGGGAGAGCTTGAAGAAAGCTACCAAAAAGGAAGCATCTCTGGCCAGGATGCATTTTATTCAAACAGGTACATGGTTAATTGTTGTGGTTTTAAAATTTGTGCCCGCATGACTATAAAGTACAGTATACGTAAAGTAAGTAATGTACAGTTAACATTGATGGATTATTGTGTAGAAATAAATAATTGTTCTTTTAGGTGGTGGGCCTCCGAAGCCAAAAACGGAAGATCCATATGTGAACACATCATGGGGCTAATTACACCAAGTGCAGTAGGGTTGCATAACCCGTTCGATAGCGACAGTGTAATTATAGAGGAGTCTTTCCTAGATGGTGGACAATTGAATTTAACACAAATTACAACTCAAAATGAAATGGTTAGTTTTGTGTTTTTATAGTAGTCTGTTTTTTCAAATATATATTATCCTACTGCATGTTAAGTTATTTGACCTCAGCCATTGAATATATAGTGGGGACAGTGTTTAAAAATAAATGGTTTTGACGTTTAGGGACCAGTTCTTCATTTGCCTTTTTCTGCTTACAACCTGTTCTGTATTCGACCACTTCTTGATAAGGCTAGTTCTCTTAAAGACCATTTCTGCTTTTGACCACTTCCTTATTTGACTACCTTGGTTACGGTGTGCAAGAAAACTCAAGACTTAATTTACTATGAAATTAAAACCAAACATTGTCTACTTTCATGAAACTTAAAAACAATTAATATTTTAACAAAAATACAAAAAAAACATATCCATACAATATTATAGGTAGGTATCGTTCACTTAAAACTGTAATAATAGAACCGTTTTACCCCCGAAGGGAATAAAACGGATATTTTGCGTCTAGCCAAGGCTTGACCCTAAGAGATTACACTTCGTATTTTGAGAATGAATTACACGTGTTCTAGCCCGTTTCACAGCAATAGTCGCTTATATCGTCGCGCCCCGCCACTGAAAACAGCGCGGGGAGCGCGGGAGGCGCGGGAGGCGCGGCCGGCGGGAGCGCATCGCGCGTTCTCCAGTACCGTCTCAAGAAAAAAGGCCGGCAAGGCCTTAAATTGGGTCAAGCCTTGGCTAGACCCAAAATATCCGTTTTATTCCCTTCGGGGGTAAAACGGTTCTATTTTAGGTCTGAGCCTGCGGCTTGACCCTAAGAGACTTGTTTGGTTTCTGCCGGCCATATAAGGCGTACTGTGAAACAACAATAAGGAATTACCTATTTATAAGTGGATGGTTACAATTACAATACCTAAAAGAGAAACAAGACATGAAAATAATCTAATCTTTATTAATCATCAGAAGAAAGAAACAAATCTTGGTATCCAACAACATAATTATTTTAATTGTTAAGTATCACAACCTCTTAAAATTCTTATTCATGTAATAATCAAATAACAATATAAATTACTGAGATCCGGCAATCAGTCTTAAAAGTTATAATAAAATATTAAAGGAACTACTTAACACATTTGGTGTATCATTGGAATTAGAAGCACTTCTATTAACTTCTCTAAAATAATGTTTAAAGAATGTAGCTCCACTACGCCAATTACCTTTTCTAAGAACTTCGTCAAGGGGTAGTAATCCATAATTTTTAGACGCCACAGCAGAACGGATACTTCCTGGGGATGCATTAATACCTACACTTTCAAAAGCTGATCGTATCCATCCTGCTATCACGCATCGCGACGCGGCTTTAACCGCCCCCCTTGTGGTTATGAACAAATCCGTCAAACGTGGGCGTGCTAACCTACGACTTTCTGAAGTGACAACAAGTTTATTTGTCCAAAAGGGAATATCCAAGTTTTTCTTTGTGTTAGATGTAAATTCCCAACCCGATTGACGAAAACTACTGGAATCGGTTTTAGACCCAAACTTTGGCCAGAAAATTAACGAATTTGCAGTTTTTATCATGTCGCCAGAGCTTATATGTAAAAGAGTCAAATCATGAATCCGACGACCGGTACTAAGGAGGAGCAGCAAGGCAACATGTCTAGATAATTGAAAAAGATTATTATCTTGAGGCGGGTTCACCAAAAGCCAATCTATCAGTATTGATACATCCCATACACATCTCCTGTTAGCAGGAGGTCTACTTAATTGTATTCCCTTAATCACTCGTGCGATTATTGGATGCGAACGAAGCTTTGCCGCATTAGAAAAATCTGAGAATGTACAGATCACAGATTTGTGTACTTTTATTGTTCTCGGCGCTAAATGCAATTTTTTGTGAAGATAACCTAGGAACAGAGCTACCTGATCAGCTGTCGGTTTTAGATGGCAAATTGAATTTAAGGAACACCAATTGCGCCAACGTCTCCATGCTGATTCGTATGTACGCAAAGTTGATTTCCTCCACGAACTCTCTATCAGAGAGATATATTGTGGTGACCAATCTTTAATTAGAGAACTCCAGCCTGAAGCCTCCAAGCCTCCAATTTTAACCGGTTCACTTCTAAGGGAACAGCTTGCGTCGACAAGTCCTTGAGATGATGTTACAGGTTGCGGATCTGATAAGGCGGAGCTGTAGCTCTCCGACGGAGATCCGCTCTCCAGAACGATTTGTCCCACTTGGGTGCTATTATTACAAACGTTCCCCGCGCGTCGTTCAAGTGATGTAAAACTTGAGGAATTAGAGATGGTGGAGGGAACACCCAGGCCAACCTGAACTCCCATGTCCGACTGAAAGCGTTCGTAAAAAATGCTCCCTTGTCCTTGGGGTTCAGACTCGCATATCGTGGAACCACCGCCGAGGAGTCTGACGCAAACAGGTCTATATCTGGAGTCCCCCACCTTTCGAATATTTTTTGAACAACTGCTTGAGAGAGGCTCCATTCTGGAATTGGTTTTTTTCGGGATAGACCATCCGCTGTTAGATTGTATCGTCCGGGAATGAACTGAGGGTGAAGAGTTATACTTTCTTGCATACATATATTTAGCATGGTCTTCGTTAAATTCAAGAGGGCGGCTGATTTGGTTCCGCCTTGTCGTTTTATGTGTGATATCACAGTCCGATTGTCCGATTGTACGACTACAGCCCTGCCTCTTAACGCCGTGATGTGCAACCTTATAGACTGGAACACCGCGAAGAGTTCCTTGACGTTTATGTGCCACTTCTTTTGCTCTGCGCTCCAAGGTGCTGACATCATCTCGCCATTCAATTCTGCTCCCCATCCTATGTCGGATGCATCGGTCGAGAGAAAGAGAGATGGGTTTTGATTGAATATCGGGGAAACTTTGCACAGGTTGTTCATCCACCAATTTATGTCTATTAACGCTGAGCTGGGAATTGGTTGGCTCTGGTCTGGCTGAAACATATCCATTTTGTTCACAGCCCTCTGAATCAAGCGGCAATTTAGGAGACCGAGTGGAACAACAAAAGCTGCGAATATAAGAAGGCCCAATAGGGATTTTGCCTTTCTCCAAGTCCAGACACGTTCTTCTTTTAATTGACTCAATACCAAACCGACTCTCTTTATTTTTATTGCACTCAGACTTTTGACGTTGAGTTCCGTATCCCAAATTACACCTAAGAATTCCAGTTTGCGCGTGGGACGCAAGCGTGATTTCTCGTAATTTATTATCCATCCCAACTCTTCTAGAAGATTCGTGGTCATTTTTATCTGCTTGATTAGAGTATCTAGGTTTTGACAAGCCAGCAGAAAATCGTCTAAGTAAACGATTACACGAACACCTCGGGATCGTAATAAGCTTGCCACCCAATTTGTTAGACGAGCAAAGATAACTGGGGCTACGGACAATCCGAACGGAAGTGCCGTCATTTGATAGCATTGGCCGTCGTACGACAGAGCAAGGAAGCGTCTGTGAGCTGGTTTTATCGGCACGTGTAGGTAAGCGTTGGATAAATCCAGCTTTGCCAAATAATCGTTTCGCTGTAAAAACTTTGGCACCCTGTGGTGGTTTATGAGACGGAATGGTTTTGGATTTAGAAAACGATTCAGTGGTTTCAAATTGAGGACTGGTCTTTGATTGCCATCCGATTTTGGAACCAAGAACATTCGGGATAGGAAAACTGACTCGTGATTGCAAGTTTCTATAGCCCCCAACTGAAGTAGACTTGTTATTTCCGATTGCATAGCCTCCGATTTTACAGTTTGAAATCTGGTTAAGTTTGTCTCCGATTTTGTCATTAAAGGCGGTTTTTTGCTGAACGGGATAGACAAACCCGTCAATATGTTTATGAGGTAAGAAGGGGCATCGTGATTCTCCCACTGTTCTACAAAAAACTTTAGCCGCCCCGCTAGACTGATTTTCGGGGTATAGTCAAAAGGGTTTTGTGGAGTGCTTCCTAGGAGATGGGCCGGATTTAGCGTGCCCTCCCCCCCTTTTTTTGTTGTTTGGCTTTGCCTCAAATGGTTTTTTGAAACCTTTTATAGTTGTGGATGAACACGTAGAAGATTGATTCTTCCTTCTGTTGAAATGGGATACCTTATTTTCAGAAGAATGCTGATCTGTTTTGCGTCCCTGTCGATTGGTTTGGCAATCTGTCAAGACTTTATGAGCAGGGAAGAATTTGTAATAACCACCATTTGTTCTAAAAGTTTCTGAAAGAGCATCTTCGTCAAAGAGATACGCACTAGAAGGTGGTACCTTATGCAACGCACTGTGCATATACTTAGACGGTGGCTTGTATACAGAACGTCTATATTCGATCACCTCGGCACGACGCCCACAGGTATATTGAAGCAGATCATCACTGACTTTTCTGAACTCTGTGTCCGGACCCGTAACATTCTTAATGATAGCCTCGTTAAGAGTTTTTGATTTAACCTCGTTTGCTAAACTTATTAGGGATTCTTTCAGTAGTTTTCTCTGTAGAAGGAGACCATGGGTCACTGCACCTAGAGTTTGGTCAAATTTAACAATATGCTCATATGGAATCCAATTAGGAGTCTTGGCTGAAAGCTGCGTATTTACTGATAACGAGGTAAAAGCTGGAGCAGCCTGCAATTTCTTTTGAACTTCCGCATATCGAAGGTTAGCCCAGGACTCTTTACCAAATCTCTGGCAAACCACTCCCTGGTCTAGTAGATCATCCGGAGCTGGCATTATTTTTGGTTCCGCTTCTCTAACGCAGGGAGGTAGGTCAAACAAATTTGCAGAATACTCAGGAATGTTAGGGTTTAAATCTGGTACACGAAAAGCCGAAGATGAGCGTTCAGTGGAGTTATCTTTGTCATACAGTTCGTAGAATGACGGTTGAACCTCCTCCGAATTAAAAACCGATTCTTCGTCGTCAGAATAATTCACGTTTTCTGCGCCATGATTGCGTAGCAGCTGAGCTACCATTTCCTGTAAAGCCTTGGTTTGTTCCTTAAGAGTCTTGATGTCTTCAGAATCAGTCTTACTTCTTTTTATATTTTGATTTCGCGACATTGGGGATGATAATCTTCTCTTTCTCGAAGGTTTATCGACGTCCGATATCAATTTTTCTACTTCCTCTCTTGAAATAAAAGATGTTTTTATTTCATTTATAGCAGCTAGAAAAAGCTCCAAATTGGCTGAAGAACCATGTATCTTTGATGCAACAGACTTTGGGTTAATAATAAGTGCTCTGCAAAGAGGCCATTCAAGTAAGGCAAGTTTTATACTTTTGAATGTTTTTTTCAGATACAGCCTTTGCATCTGGATGAAATGCCTTCACCAAGGACACAGTGGGAATAGCAAAACGAAGTTTGTTGAAAATCTGTGGATCAATTTTTTGACCAAATAAATCTCTCTTTGAAAAAGCCACGACTTTCCAATCGCGCCATGTTGCTGGGAACACCTGTTCGATAACTTCAATGAGTCGTTGTAGTATCTCCCAATCTCCCGTCGTCGCTTCCGTCGCCGCAAGCTCGCCAAGCGTCGTAAATGCTCTGGGCAATGCCATCGTTTACTTCCTGAAAGAGGGAAATTTCGTAAAGTATACGAAAAAAACATGGGCCATAACATAGACCCTCAGCGTGAGCGGCCGTCTTCAAGATTTGATACGTTGGGACAAAGGAGCCGACGGTCGGTTAACCTTGCTCGGCGGGTTATAATTCTGACCCGACGACCCATTTTGGGTGGACGGGTCGTAGCTTTAGGCGGACGGGTCGTCGCTTTGGGCGGACGGATCGTCGCTTTGGGCGGACGGGTCGTCGCTTTGGGCGGACGGGTCGTCGATTTGGGTAGACGGGCCGCCGAGTTGGGTGGACGGGCCGACGGAATGGGCCGACTGACAGATAGTCTGGGCCGACGGGCCGCAATACAAAACAAACTGACATTGTTTCTGAAAATTCAGTCATAAGGCCATTTAGACTACTAGACTACCGTAGGGCGAGTCCAGCACTCAATATAAAATATAAAAGTAAATCTCACGTACTCATACCTAAATTTACTGTAAAGAAAAAAAAAAAAAAAAAAAAAAAAAAAAAAAAAA